TGCTCCATGGCTTATGGTCCTTGTTCATTCAGTTATGAAGGGCCTACCCTTCAATGGCTACTCAGCTTATAGACCTGACGGCTCTCTTCCCCTCCAGCGGCCTCCACGCCCCCACCACTACCACATCTAGACCTGTCATCTCTGGGCTGTCTTGTGCCTCCAGCATAGCCCTCACATCATGGAACTGCACATTTCAAACTGTTCTTGCCACAGTCATCTTGAGTGGTGACCCCTCTTGCCTAAGGCAGAGGACAGCTCAGCCTTGCTGGCAGCCCCCTTGTCATATCCTGACCTGTTCCTCTTTCTCAGCTGGTTGCTCAGACCAGTGTATACTTGCCTGTCCTCTGTGACGTGGCTTAGAGGACACCTCAGCAGTGGTCCCATCTGCAACAAGCTGTGGGATTGGGTGCTGTGTGTTTGGGAAGACCTGACTGAGTCCATGAAGAGCAGGGCCAGGATTTGGCCCAGTTACTGGTCCAGACCAGTCAGACATCAGGCACCTGGAAGAACCATGGGAGCTGCTTTACACCAACCACCTCCCTGTGCTGCAGGTTCTTTCTTATGTGTTACTTGTTTGTGAACCTGGCCTGTGCTGTGCAGACCCTCCTGAGGACCCCCAACTGGCGGCCCCGGTTCAAATACTATCACTGGTGAGTGCTGGTCGGGACCCCTGAGCCAAGTCCTTGATGTGGGAGATAGTGAGGGAGCCAGGAGCCCCCATTTTGGATGAAGTTTGAGTTTCCTTGACAGTTTTTACTCTTGGTAAAACACTTTGGAGGAGGAGATTGTGGGGCTGGGGACCTTGACCTATTTCTTACACCCAACTGTGACTTGGGATTTGAGAGGGCCATCAGGACATGGGATAGGTTATGACCTAGGACCCTACTAGTCTTGCCTTGATTCTTTTCTCTCCCGTTCTGTTCCAGGGCACTATCCTTCCTGGGCATGAGCCTCTGCCTGGCCCTTATGTTTGTTTCCTCCTGGTACTATGCTCTGGTGGCCATGCTTATCGCAGGCATGATCTACAAGTACATTGAGTACCAAGGGTGAGTGAAGGGCTGCTGCCTGGCCTCTGTCAACAGCCTGTACAGCATTCAGGGTGCCTGGCTAAGCAAGTGGGGTGGTCTGGATGTCAGGTCATGGGGGCAGCTGGGCCACCTTAGCTATCCACCATGGGTACTAGGACTTGGGGGCTGTGACTCAGGGCCTGGCCCCTCCTGCACATTCATATAGACTAAAATTCCTGTGTAAGGGGCTGAGGATGAAGCTAAGTGGTAGAGCACTTGCTTAGCATGTGTAAAGTCCTTGGTTTAATTCCCTGTACCACAAAACAAAAAAGAAAAATGTTTGGGTGGATCATGGACTCACCAGCTTGTGGTGGCATCTGTAGGGCTGAGAAGGAATGGGGTGACGGGATCCGAGGCCTGTCCCTGAGCGCTGCCCGCTATGCACTGTTGCGGCTAGAAGAGGGGCCACCTCATACCAAGAACTGGCGGTAAGTTCATGCCTGATTGGTAAAGGGCCATCTCAAAGTTAGGGAGCATTATGAGGGTGGGAGGGCCAAGAGTTCTGGCTCTCCTACCTAGTCCAGGTCCCCCCTCTTGGAGTTGCCAGGAGCTCCCTCCTGCTTATTGAGCCCTTGGATCCATGCTATGCAAACCTGTGGGGGCCCATGTTCTAAGAAGGGAAGAAGAGGAAGTTCCTTGGAAAGACCTGACCCTGGTCTCAGGCTGCCTCCCCATCTGGCTACTGTAGGCCTCAGCTCCTGGTGCTGCTGAAGCTAGACGAGGACCTTCATGTGAAGTACCCACGGCTCCTCACCTTTGCTTCCCAGCTAAAGGCCGGCAAGGGCCTAACAATTGTTGGCTCCGTCATCCAGGGCAGCTTCTTGGAGAGCTATGGAGAGGCCCAGGCTGCTGAGCAGGTGCCTTCCAGGGGTGGGAGGAGCCGAGCCAGGCCAATAGTGTCTGGGCTGCAGCTGATATGTAGGGGAGAGGACCAATTCTAGCCAGTTTGGCCAGCAAGATGGACAACACTGATGCCACCTTCAAGCTGGAACAAGGGGGTATAGTTGAAAACATGGCCTCTGGGTAAATAGCTTGCTCCAGGCCTTTCTACCCCTAAGTAGTTAAATGCCCTAGGGCCCTGGGAGGGAGCCCAATAAAGGAGAAGCTGGTGGCCTTGCCTTCTGACACGGACATGTTCTCCACAGACGATCAAGAACATGATGGAGATTGAGAAAGTGAAAGGCTTCTGCCAGGTAGTGGTGGCCAGCAAAGTACGTGAAGGGCTGGCCCACCTTATCCAGTCATGCGGCCTGGGAGGCATGAGGCATAACTCCGTGGTGCTGGGCTGGCCCTATGGCTGGCGACAGAGTGAGGACCCACGTGCCTGGAAGACCTTTATTGGTGTGTGAGAGGCTGGTGCCTGGGCTGGACCGAGTGGACCAAGGGCAGGGTTAAGCGAGGTGACGGAGGCCTGAGGGCCACAGGCTGGCAGTCAGCAGTGCCCTCTTTCTCAGACACTGTGCGCTGCACCACAGCTGCCCACCTGGCCCTGCTTGTGCCCAAGAACATCGCTTTTTACCCCAGCAACCATGAGCGTTACCTGGAGGGCCACATTGATGTGTGGTGGATCGTGCACGATGGCGGCATGCTCATGCTTCTGCCCTTTCTGCTGCGCCAGCATAAGGTGGGCCAGGCAGGTGGGTGTGGGTGAGAGGAGCTGGGCCCTTGGAGGTTGGGTGTGACCGAAGCACAACCTGCTCCAATGCCACAGGTTTGGAGGAAGTGCCGGATGCGCATCTTCACGGTAGCTCAGATGGACGACAATAGCATCCAGATGAAGAAGGATCTGGCCATTTTCCTCTATCACCTCCGCCTTGAGGCAGAAGTGGAGGTGGTGGAGATGGTAAGCTGCCTCCCCTAACGTTGCCACAGGGATCCTGAGCGCCATACGGCCCCATCCTCACATCTTCCCTTCTTCCCAGCATAACAGCGACATCTCTGCATATACCTACGAGCGCACACTGATGATGGAACAGCGGTCTCAAATGCTGCGGCAGATGAGGCTGACCAAGACTGAACGGGAGCGAGAAGTCAGTGGCTGCCTTGGTTCAGGCTGGGGATGGGTGGCAGGGTCAGACCTTTGGAGACACTGTCAGGTGGAGGTATCAGAGTGACTCACCCCAGGGCTGATCATGGTGGTTTATGTATGTAATCCCAGCTATTTGGGAGGAGGTCAGGAGAATCATGTTTCAAGGCCAGCCTAGGCAAAAAAGTTAGTGAGACTCTATCTCAATCAATTAACTGGCCATGGTGGTATGTACCTATAATCCCAGCTACCCAGGAGGCAGAGGTAAGAGGATCATGGTCCCAGGCTGGCCCTGAACAAAAAGCATGACCCAATCCAAAAAATAACTAAAGCAAAAAGCTGAGGACCAGTAGAGCATCTGCTGTGTAAGCATGAAGCCCTGAGTTCAAACTCCATTCCCACCAAAAATAACAGCTCAAGTGGTAGAGTGCTTGCCTAGTAAATGTGAGGTCCTGAGTTAAAACTACAGCACTGCCAAAACAAAACAAAACCAAAAACTCACTCTAGGTCCAGGCTCCCCTGAGCCAGTGCCCATTTCCTGGAGGCAGGGTGGTCATGACAGGCCAGCTAGCTCCCCTTTTTCCAGGGGATTAAAGCTACTTCCTCTGATTATCCTCAGGCCCAACTGGTCAAGGACAGACACTCGGCCCTGCGGCTCGAGAGCCTATATTCAGATGAGGAGGATGAGTCTGCAGCAGGGGCTGACAAGATCCAGATGACATGGACCCGGGACAAGTACATGACTGAGCCCTGGGACCCCAGCCATGCCCCTGACAACTTCCGGGAGCTGGTGCACATGAAGCCGTGAGTATAGTAGAAATTACCCAGTATGTTGGGGTCTGGGTTGGAGATGAAGTGGAAGCAGACAAACTGTGGGTGGGCCAGGGACAGAGGATTCCTTGCTGGATTGTTCCCGATAGCCTGTAATCAGCTGCATTACCTGCAGGGACCAATCCAATGTGCGGCGTATGCACACTGCAGTGAAACTCAATGAAGTCATAGTCACACGCTCCCATGATGCCCGGCTGGTCCTACTGAACATGCCTGGTCCGCCTAAGAACAGCGAAGGTGATGAGAATTGTATCCCTTTGTGGAAAAACAGGCAGCGGGGTGGTGGATGATGTGCAAGTTCCTTTCCCCAGGTGGGGATGGCCCTGGTTACCTCTTGGTTCTGTGGCTGCCTCCTTGACGTGATGCTCTGCAGACATGGAGTTCCTTGAGGTGCTGACTGAGGGCCTTGAGCGGGTGTTGTTGGTGCGTGGGGTGGCCGTGAAGTCATCACCATCTACTCCTGAGCCCAGTGTAGTTTGTGGCTGAGTGGGGGTGTCCAGGGCAATAGCGCCCACCCTACTACACACCTACTTGCCAGTTCTACTTTGCCCATCTTTGCCTTGGACCAGCTTTGCCAGGTCTCCTGGGAAACTAAGCCTAGGCCTGGGAGTGGTGATGGATCTGAGGACCTGTGGAACCCTTGGATGTTTGGGGACTTTTCCCCCCACTACCCCAGTAGGCCTGCCCTGGCTAGAGAAGACTGGTGGAGAACTGATGAGGGGTTTGAAGGCCCAGCCTTGTCCAGGAGCTCTATTTATTGTATATTTATTGTTTGGATATTACCATCAAAAAAGAGGGGAAGGGCAGCAAGGGAGGGAGTCCAGTCAGCCTGTGTGCAGGAAGACCTGGCTCAGGCTACTGTGGGCAGTAGCCCACATTCAAGCCAAGCAGAATGGAGCTGGCCAAACTAAGCCCTGACTTTTTTCAATAAAACATTGTGTACTTCTGGGCCTCCTGCTGCCCAGCTCTGTTTCTCCTGGCGCCAAGGGAAGAAGGCGGAACTGAACCTAGGCCCAGAGCCAGCGCCCCTTTCCTGGCAATGGTAATCTCTGGCCACCCCCCATTGGCCATCCTGCCCCTCCCACCAGCCCTGAGGTCCCTCCCACCTCCATACCAGATAAGGCCAGCCCAGCACTGCCTCATCTGGCAGTAGGCACTGGGCTGGGATGGGGCTGCCTGGCTCCCCATGGCAGTGGGTACTGCTGCTGCTGGGGCTGCTGCTCCCCCCTGCCGCCCCCTTCTGGCTCCTCAATGTGCTCTTCCCCCCGCATACCACGCCCAAGGCTGAACTCAGTAACCACACACGGCCGGTCATCCTCGGTAAGCCCCCACCAGGCCCAATGCACCTGGTGAGACCATGGGAGCCTGGGTGCCAGCCCCTGGCAGCAGCAAATGCTGCCAAGGCCCTTCTGCCCTTGCAGTAGCCTTGATCCCTACCTCAGTGTTGGGAAGGGCCAAAGGCTTGTCCTGCAGAGAAGTCATCCATTCTCCCACCACACTGTTCTGTGTCTCTGTGTTATCTACTCTAGGGGAGTGGGGGGGGGGGCGAGTGTGCCTGAGGCCTTGGCCAGGGCATAAGCTGTGGTTAGCTGCAGCCACAGTAGACCCTGGGTCAAGCCCCTACCACTCCTTGGCCCCCAAGGACAAGATGCCCAGCCCAGAGCAGGAGAGGCCCATGAAAGCCTGTCTCCTCCTTAGGCCCAGCCCCACTCCCCATGCCTATTTGTTCTCACCTTGGACTTTGGAGATAATGGAAAGCCAGGCTGGATGTTTGCTTTGTGGGGGCAGGGGTCAGTGGCCTGGGCTCCTGCAAATTTCCTGCCTGAGGGGAGCCTGGATTTTGGGCTAACTGGGGGAACAATGAATCAGGAGAGGATAAATATGGTTAGTGCCTGGGAGATGAGGGTGTGGAAGATGGAGTGGGCTGGTCTCGGAGTGGGACCCGGGGTATGGGGAAGCTAGGGAGTCTAGTATGAGAGCTGGTACCCACAGTGCCTGGCTGCTTGGGGAATCAGCTAGAAGCCAAGCTGGATAAGCCAGATGTGGTGAACTGGATGTGTTACCGCAAGACAGAGGACTTCTTTACCATCTGGCTGGATCTCAATATGTTTCTACCGCTCGGGGTAGACTGCTGGATCGATAACACCAGGTATGTGTCATGTGCTCTGCCCAGCCCCACAAACCGGCCCTTGGCGACCGGCTGCTGAATGTCCCACTGTCTCCAGGGTTGTCTACAACCGCAGCTCTGGGCGTGTATCCAATGCCCCTGGTGTACAGATCCGTGTCCCTGGCTTTGGCAAGACATACTCTGTTGAATACTTGGACAAAAACAAGTTAGCAGGTGTGTACTGTAGAAAGATGAGGGGTTCCTGGCTGTGGTAGGTCAGTAGGGTGCGACGGCCAGAACCCCTATGCTGCTGCCTCTCTGTAGGTTATATGCACACACTGGTGCAGAATCTGGTCAACAACGGGTATGTGCGGGATGAGACAGTGCGGGCCGCTCCCTATGACTGGCGGCTGGAGCCCGGTGAGTGTCTGCCAGTGATGGGCTAGGAGAGGGGCAGGTGGCCCCTGACTCTTAATTGCCCTGACACCCATCCACCCACCTGCAGGTCAGCAGGAGGAGTATTACCAGAAGCTGGGGGGGCTGGTGGAGGAGATGCACGCTGCCTATGGGAAGCCTGTCTTCCTCATTGGGCATAGCCTTGGCTGTCTGCACTTGCTCTATTTCTTGCTGCGGCAGCCCCAGTCCTGGAAGGACCGCTTCATTGATGGCTTCATCTCTCTTGGGGCTCCCTGGGGCGGCTCTATAAAGCCCATGCTTGTCTTGGCCTCAGGTAAGGAGGAACAAAGTTGATCATGGAGTTGGTGTCACTCAGCTTTGTTCACAGTGGTGTCTGGGGTATTGTCTACCACCCTTGGGACATACCTGCCATCATTTGCATACTTCCCCCAGTGACCCTGGCTGGGCCATTAGGATGACTTCTAGAATCTGTCAGTGACGACAAAAGGGAAGTAAACAGGAAGTGCATCCCAGCAGTCTTACTCAACCTGAGGTTTGTTCCTTGTGGCCCCAGATCCTGCCCACCCACTTCCTGTTACTTTGTGCTTCCAGAAGTCTTTGTGACCAAGGTACTGCCTTACTGAGGACAGGTCTACCACAGCCAAGATTTGCTAGCTCCTCCTGCCCTTTCCTAAGGAGTAGCCACAGGGACCCAGCACTAACACAGCTGCCACCTATTTAGCACCACTGTATGCTAGGCATAGCCAGGCTTGGCCTCCTTGAAACTCACCATCTGGTGAGGGAAAGACCCATCAGATTACACCATGAAATGTAGATGTAAAACAAAAAAGACCTTCCATTTCATCTTTCCCAAAACACAATCCTGTGACCACTACACTACACAGGACCCACACAGGGCCTGAGGGGGAACAGCCAGCATACCCCATCCTCAGAAGCAGTCACCCTTTTTAAGGCCCTACAGTTCTTTTACACTCACTAAGCACACACTGAATGTCTATTGAATAGCAGGACCAGGCCTGCTCTAGACTATGGCTTGAATTCCAGGTCTGGGTGGGGCAGGAACAAACTTTTTTTTTTGACTGCATAAGTGGGCAAAGGCTCTACCATGAGCTACACTCCAGCCCTAGGAACAAGCTTGACAAATTATGGTCCAGAGATAGCAAGGCCCAGCTCCCTGTCCCACCTTGTTCCATGTCCACAGGTGACAACCAGGGCATCCCGCTCATGTCCAGCATCAAACTGAGAGAGGAGCAGCGCATAACAACAACTTCCCCATGGATGTTTCCTTCCCGCCAGGTGTGGCCTGATGACCATGTGTTCATTTCCACGCCAAGCTTCAACTACACAGGCCGTGACTTCCAGCGCTTCTTTGCAGACCTGCACTTTGAGGAAGGCTGGTACATGTGGCTTCAGTCACGTGACCTACTGGCAGGCCTCCCAGCACCTGGCGTGGAAGTATACTGTCTGTATGGTGTAGGCTTGCCCACACCCCGCACCTATATCTATGACCACGGCTTCCCCTACACAGACCCCGTGGCTGCACTGTATGAGGACGGTGATGACACGGTAGCCACACGCAGCACAGAGCTCTGCAGTCACTGGCAGGGCCGCCAACCACAGCCTGTACACCTGCTGCCCCTGAATGGGACACAGCACCTCAACATGGTCTTCAGCAACAAGACACTGGAGCATATCAATGCCATCCTGCTGGGTGCCTACCGCAGTCAAACCCCTGTAGTCTCAGCTGGCAGCCCAAGTCCCCTCTCCCCTGAATAAAGACCTGTGCTGTTGTGAGCCCTGTGTGTTGTGGATTGAAAGAGAGGCTCTTGTAGGGTCCCTATACCAAGATCCACACATCACCAGCCACAGGCCCAGTAGTCAGTAGAGCATGAATAAGATGGGCTCTGCTTAGGTCTGAGGTTGATCTGGACCCCTTGAGATGTGCAGCGTCTCATTCTCCTGGTTGAGCTGTCCAGGCAGTCTGCCCTGTCTGGTTCTGTACTAGAGCTGGGACTGGAGCCAGCTATACCAATAGCTGTAGGATGGAGACACAGAGAAAGGATGATCTGAGCTGTCCCTCCCAGCTCCCGAAAGGACAGGTGAGATGACCTGTTGAGTGCTTGGTGGGCAACAGATACAAGTTTAGAATGAACTAGCCTGCAGTTCATTGGAAGACCCTGGATTCAATCCTTAGCACCAAAAGAAAAAGTTTAGAATCTGAGTGGCAGCCATTAACCCGATCATCTCACTAATGAAGACTTAATTTGTTTTGCAGTGCTGGGATGGAACCCAAGGGCCTCTCAAATGCTAGGCAAGTATTCTACCTCTGACCTATACTCCCAGCCCCCAAGAATTACTTATTAACAAAACTAAGTGCTGTGAGAGAACTTTTAGGTAGCAGCAAGATGCTGACCTTTCAGTCAGGAAGGCTTCCCAAAGGAGGCGGTGCCTACACTGTCAAGAGGGCTGAGAAGGGTAACATGCACGGGTGATCACTCAGATGTATTTGTGCCTAAGAGTAGTGTGCAACTGCTGAAGGGTTTTAACCAGGGAAACAATGTGAACAGAATTCCATGCTAGAAAGACCACTAGGTTTTCCTAGCTAGCCCTCCACACATACACACACAGTGGCCCTCTTGAGAGGTAAGATGAAAGGACCAGCATCATTGTGCTGAGGACTGAGACTTAGTTTCCAAGAGGCAAAGGCAACAAGAAGCAGAAATTGGGAGAAGGAAGGCCAGTAAATGCAGAGTCCTGGCCACGGGTTTGACAGCTTTAGGGTGTTAGCACTTGAGACTAAAGTAACAGAGCTGGAGGGTATCAGACTGGAAAGGAGTAGGGAGCAGAACAACGGCCAGAGGGGGAGGGACTTATCCCTTTTTCTGACAGAGAATCTAGGGAGCAGTATGGAAAACCTAGCAAGAGACATCACCCTCTTACCAAGCTACCTATGATCAGAGGCCAAGATGAAAGTGAAAGAGAAGATGCAGAAGGCAGGGTGGAGGCGAAAGTGAAAGCAGGAAGCCTCAATCTCAACCTCACAGAAGCAGAGGCTGAGGTCTTCCTGCTCTCCTCGGCCCCACTCTTCTAACCCATAAACCCCAAGTCCTAATTGTCCTTCCTGTCTCAAGATGCTGAAGATCACGGTGGGGGACCCCCAAGGGGGCTTCTCCTTTGACAACTGCCAGAGGTGAAAGAGGGAGGCTTAGTCAGGAGTTGCCTGTGCTTTGCTGTGCCCTTTTTTCTTGGCAGAGGGGATGTCTGTGTTGGGCAATTTGGGTTCCAGGCTCACCCCAAGGGAGGAGGGCGCCCAGGACGAGTTGGGGGATGAAACAGAGGCCCTAGAAGCATAACCGAAACCCGGGCCCACGCCTCTGTTTGCAGAAATGCATCCTTGGAACGCGTTCTCCCGGCCCTTCGGGTCCCTCATGCACGCAAGACCGGGACCACCATCGCGGGACTTGTGTTCCAAGTGAGCAAGGGGGTGGGACTGGTGAGCCAGGAGGGCGGCCGCGGTGGGAGAGATCGGGTGGGTACTGAGGCAGCGGCACCTCCTCCGTAGGACGGAGTGATCCTGGGCGCAGATACGCGGGCCACTAACGATTCTGTCGTGGCGGACAAGAGCTGCGAGAAGATACACTTCATCGCCCCCAAAATCTAGTGAGATTTCCCGAACCCAGTTCCCGCACCCAGGAAAGAAGCCACCGCCCCCCTCCCGTCGCTCCCACTCTAGTCAGTCCCCACACATTTTAAAGTCCTGCCCACACCGATCCTCCCTTCAATCTCAGCTGCTGTGGGGCTGGAGTGGCCGCGGACGCCGAGATGACCACACGGATGACCGCGTCCAACATGGAGCTACATTCGCTATCAACTGGTCGCGAACCTCGGGTGGCCACCGTAACTCGCATCCTGCGCCAGACGCTCTTCCGGTGAGGGGTCGGGAATAAGATGACCCTAGGGAGGGGAAGTTCTAATATGGACTGGGCTGATAGGATGTGGAACGGGAGAAAGGGCGGGACTACGACGTTCCGAGAGACCGGAAGAGGCTGGCCAACAGGAAGAATTGCTGTCAGTGGAGGACGCCAGGACACAGGAAGGGGCGGGGCTCAAATCCAGAGGCGGTGCCGTGGGGGCGGGGCCTGAATACTTTGCTAGTGACCACGCCCACCCACGAATAGATACCAGGGCCACGTGGGAGCATCGCTGATTGTGGGCGGTGTAGACCTGACCGGGCCTCAGCTGTATAGCGTGCACCCTCACGGTTCCTACAGTCGTCTGCCTTTCACAGCTCTGGGTGAGCGTTTCCATCCCTTCCCCACGAACCACGCCCCATCAACCCTGGCCTCACGTTTGTCCCCCACTGTAGCGACCTTAGTTGCCTCTACCCCCTTGCAGGCTCGGGACAGGACGCGGCCCTGGCAGTGCTGGAAGACCGGTTCCAGCCAAACATGACGGTGAGTGAAACCTGCCCCTAATATATGGTCACTGCTGAAAGAGGGAACACAAGCGTGGGTGACTCAGAAGTTTGTACACAGGACAGGGTGGAGGGGACACAGGAAGGAGGGAGGCAGAGACCAGGGGAGGGAAATTTGGAGTGATGGTGGGGAGAGGAGGTTGGGTGTGCACAAATGGTGTCTGGGATTCAAGACTAACCAAGTCCCTAGGCTGCAACTTGAGGTTACAGTAAGAGGGTCCATTAACCCTCAGCCACATATTACTACAGCTGGAGGCTGCACAGGAGCTGCTAGTGAAAGCCATCACTGCAGGGATCCTGGGTGATCTGGGCTCTGGAGGTGCTGTGGATGCATGTGTCATCACTGCAACAGGTGCCAAGTTGTTGAGAACACTGAGTTCACCCACAGAGCCTATGGAGAGGTGGGAGCAAGGGAGAGGGAGCACCATGGGGGAGGATGGGGCAGCAGCAGGGGATGCAGATAGGAAGCTGCAAGAATAGGACAGTCCACATGCTGTCTCTCTTTCCTCCTAGGTCTGGGCGCTACCGTTTTGTGCCTGGAACTACTGCTGTCCTGACCCAGGAAGTAAAGTCACTGAACCTGGAGCTCCTGGAGGAAACTGTTCAGGCAATGGATGTGGAGTGAAATGGTTTGAGGCTTAGGGCTCTTGTTCAAGAGGGAATAAACCCAGAAAATACAAACACCTAAACAGATGACTGTCATTCTTGGGTGAAGTGGGGCAGGCAGACGGCGGGGCTCTGTGGCTAAATTATCTCTACAGGGATCACTGCCTCTCACAGCTCCAGTGTGATCTAAGAGGCGCCCTTCACCATCACCTCAGGCATCTACTCCTTTAGAACCAACCCTAGCCACCAGCATTGCAGGCCTGAGATGGAAAGCTCCTGCCTAATCTTCCTTTTGAGTCCACGCTGTTGGGGTTCCCCCGGTCACTCCCCTGCCTTGCTCTTGCCCTCCACTGGGGACTACTGTAAAACCCACAAGACTCCATGGATGACCCCCATCCAAAGCCTTTCCCAGGCCCATCAGTGACTCAGGACAAAGCCTATGTCTCAGGTCAGGCCCACCCCCGAGCCCCATGAGGGACACAAAGCTGACAGAGAAACTGCTTCCTGACTCCAAGGGCAAGTTGTCACCAAGCACTCCTCACTTCTGCCTTTACACCTGTGACACCACTCGGATGGCCAGGCACACCTGAGCCGCTGACACAAAGCTGGGCATTGTCTGCCTGGACTGGACTGTGAGCAAGTAGATCAACTGCAAGTTTTCTGGGCTGATGGGGGTCATGGACTCATTGGAAAGAGATGTCATGCTTATCCAAGAAAGGTTTGCTGAGTACCCACTGAGTGCCAGGCCAGGTGTTGGGAGCTGGCAGGAGCATGCTGCCCTTAGAATGGCTGAGCTCTACTGGGGCTTCAGCCATTAAGGAGGTCTGCCCACCTCTAGGGAGGGACTCCAGGCTGGACATCCCTGAGCCCTTGTTCCCCTCAACACCTTATTATAAGAAAATTGAAATATGACAGAAAAGTTGAAGGAATTGTACACATATGCTCACCAGATTTTACAATTCATATTTTGTTGTATTTGCTTGATCGTATGTCTGTCTGTCAATCCATTCATCCCACTAACCATACATCTCTTATTTTTAGACTGAAGTATTCTTGAGTGAAAGCCCTCATACCCCTTGGAAGGAAGCCTGCCAACTCACCAATTTCAACTTTATACAGGGGTGTCTTCTCTCCTTTGGTTCAAACTTAGCAAGAAATGGCTGACAGGCACCAGGGCTCACCCATGGCATCCCTGAGGCCTGGAGGCTGTCAGATTTGATGGCTACCTCCCTTCTGCCTGCAACCTCAGTGCAGGGTCCATCAGTCACCAAGAGCTAGCTTACAGTTACTAAGAATGTGGGGTCCTTGCCTCTATGAGTGTTCCCCAACTTCGGCCCTGGATTCAGCAGGTGAACCAGAGCTGGCACAAAAAGTGGATCCTCAACATGCCCCTGTGCAAAGAGGTCTGTCAATGCTGGTGGGAGGATTGCTGCACCTCCTCCACCTGCAAGAGCAACTGGCACAAGGGGTGGAACTGGACCTCAAGGTATAACCAGTGCCCTGTGGGAGCTGCCTGGCATCCCTTTGACTTCTACTTCCCTATGCCTACTGCTCTGTGCTAGGAAACCTGGAGTCACTCCTACAAGGTCAGCAACTACAGCCATGGGAGTGGCCGCTGCATCCAAATGTGGTTTGGCCCAGCCCAGGGCAACCCCAAGGAGGTGGTGAGGTTCTATGCTGAGGCCATGAGTGGAGCCTGGCTCCACAGGGCCTAGTTTCTCCCCCTTGCCTGTCCCTAATGCTGCTTTGGCTGCTCACCTGAGTTCCTTTCCCTTTGGTAATTGGACATCCCTGCCCTGCTTAGCCTCACACCTACCAGCTAATTCAGTTCCTGCTCCATGGTGGGGCCTCTGGCAGTCAGCTTAAATAAACCAAACACTCTAGGAAAAAAAAAAAAGTGGAGTCCTGAGGCAGACATGAAGGTTTGTATTCTACCCTACCTCATGCTGATGAGAGGGTCACCATTTCTGAGAAAACCTCCTGACTCCTATTCCAAATTGATGAGTAACCACTGAGACGATGTCTGCTGGGACTCTCAACTTGTCAGAACTTCCATCCCTGGCCTTCCATACAGAACTTGCTATAGCCAGCCATTCCCTCCACCAGTCAGGATACCCTGGATTCTAAGGAAGCCTTTCCTAAGAGCCCTTGGAAACTACTCTGGTTCCAGCCACCAGGTTGACACTATAGACCTAATTTAACCATATGTCCTTGGTATATAGTAGCCAACATTTGGGAGGTGAGGAATTTCAGGGATCCAGAGGTCAGGCTTTGGAAAGAGGCAGTGAGAGCCTCACTTTGTCTGGTAAGTCCAAGCCTGGATCAGGGGACCTTAGTCTGAGAAGACTCTTCCCGAGAGGAAGGTGGGAAGCTGCTGAACCCACATAGCTGGTCTGGTCTCAGGCCCAGGACTTTGGCCCAAGGACAAAGATATCAATAAATAAAGCCAGGCCCAGATGTAAACCTCACATCTGCCACAATGCTACTGCTCAGGCTGACACTTAGCCTGGTCCTCCTCAGCTTCTCCTGGGGTGAATGGGCTGGGACCAGCCCTGACTGACTGAACAACTCAGCTCCGAGCTCCAGTCCAGGGGCACAGGGAAGGTGGCAGCCTGGCTAGAAGTGAAGCGGATGGACAGCAATGGGCAAAGGAAAAAGGATGTGCTAGGGCAGAGGGAAGGAGCCTGCAGGGCTGAAAGGGTAGCTAGGAGCTTAAACTAGGCCAGGAGGTCCAGGCCATGAGAATAGGATGTGTAGTTCAAGAGCCCTCTAGCTACACGAACTGTTCAAGCCTGGAGAGGTAGAGGGCCAAGACTGTCTCAGGAGTCAAAGAGAAGTGGCCTAGGATAGAATTGAGAAACAGTAGGGACTAGGTTGGGGAAATGTAAGAGAATGAACAGGACCTGGGGGCTGGTTGGATGAGGGTAATTGTGACAGGTGTGGAGGCTCAGAAGGCACTTGGGAAGAGGGCTAGTGATAAGCTGTCTTCATTTGGATACCTCTGAGGTGCACAGCCTGGGGGAACCGAGGGGAAGGACATGGGAAGAAGTGGGCCGTGGTGTGGATCCTCACTAGCCCAATGGCCAGGCTGCAGTGTTCCTGCCATCACACCAGCACTGAGCTTTAGTCAGAGGACTGTCAATGGAGAGAATGCTGTATCAGGATCCTGGCCCTGGCAGATGTCCCTACAGGTACATACACACTCTATGGGTGGGGTAGGGTCCTGGGTGCTTCATGCCTACATGTAGCCTGAGCCTCTGCCCATCTGTGACCCTTGGCCTCAGGACAAGAAATGGCTATCACTTCTGTAGAGGTTCTCTTATTAGCAAGTCCTGGGTGGTCACTATACCCATTGCAATGTCAGGTGAGTGTCTGTATCCCACCTGACCTACCAAGTGGTAGCTACTTTGGTAGGTCCAAAGTGGACCTACCAAGTCCACTTTTTCTCACCTCCTCTTAATACCCCTTTTGCTCCTGGGCAGCTACCCATTCCCATTCTCACTGCAGTCCTGGCAGCCACTTTGTCACCCTGGGTGAGTAGGACCAATCGTCCAATGCTGAGCCTGTGCAGGTGCTGTCTATCTCAAAGGTTAGTGCCTGGCTCTCTGCATGGGAGGGAAGACTGAGTCACAGGTGGGTTTCTCTGGGTACAGGAATTCAGGCATGCTCTGGCCCATCCACTTCAGTACCAACTCTAGGCTCCTGTGCCTACCCCAGCCCTCCATGAGTCCTTTCTGACCCCACAGGCCATTACATACCCCAGTTGGAACCCCAACACTCTGAATAATGACCTGATGCTCCTGAAGCTCACCTCACCAGCCCAGGCATCTCATCAGTCTGCCTGGCTTTCTCAAATGAGGAACTGTCTGCAGGCCTCACGTGTCACCACTGGATGGGGCCGCCTCAGTGGCGTGGGTAGGAACTTGGGCCAGAGCTGGGGGAAGGGAGATTAAGCATCTGAGCCAGCCTGATCACCCCCTCCTGGCCCGTAGGCAATGTGACACCAGCACATCTGTAGCAGGTAGTTCTGCCCCTAGTCACTGTGAATCAGTGCCGGCAGTACTAGAGATCAAGTATCACTGACTCCATGATCTGTGCAGGTGGTGCAGGTGCCTCTTCATGTCCGGTGAGTACTCTGTCTTCTGCACTGTCCCACAGCACACCTACGCAATCTGACTTCTCACTTTTCTCTCAGGGCAACTCTGGAGGCCCTCTTGTCTGTCAGAAGGGGGAATATGTGGGTGCTTATTGGTGTTGTCTCCTGGGGCACTGCTAACTGCAATGTGCAAGTACCTGCCGTAGATACTCAGGTTAGCAAGTTCAACACCTGGATCAACTAAGTCATGGCCTACAACTGAGCTTACCACAGACTTCCTCCCCATCCCAATCCAATAAAGACCACAGGCTTTGTCCTTTCATGTATTTGGTGCCTGTCATTCTGACTCAGGGGAAAGGAAAAGCTCTGGAGGGTCCTACCTCAACTTGGACTCTGTCAGGCTGAGGAGTCAGGATCGTCCTATAGTAGCCAGCTCAGGCTGGGGCAACCCCTTAATCCCATGGCACAGAGCCAGGGCCATCAGAACAAATGGGCAGCCTTCCCTGAGAAGGGCAGTCTGTTTATTGAATATAGAAGATACATTTACAAATTGAGTACACAAAATAAATAAATGCACATTCTCATCTATGGTCCATGGCATGAAGGCCCAGTGAGCCTATCAAAGGCCCAAGACACCAAACTCCCTCTGTTCTACCCTCAGGACCAGTCCACCCTGGGCAAGACAGGAAATAAATCCCCCAGGGTTTCAGGTCCCCAGAGCCACTTGGGGAACTGGGGGGAAATTCTGAGGCTGTGAGGCTTAGGTTTTCTACTGCCTCCTACCCAGGGAGTTGTGGAGACAGGAGGAGGAAGTGTATAAAGCACAGCCAACTTGGCACAGGTGGTCTCTTTGATTTTCCACTGGAGGTGGCACATGTAGAAAGGAGTGGGTCTAGCCAGGACTGCCCACTAGGAGGAACTGAGTGAGGGGGTCAAACTCTTCCTACTGACAGGGGTCCTGCAGTGTAGCTAAGGCCCAAGCTGGGCCCTTGCCCCTTCTGACCCATGAAAAGCAGCTGTAGTAGGAAAGAGCTTGAGTTTCAGCTTGCTTTGTGGTGATGAGACACCATGACAGCTATGGGGATGTGGTTCTGGCTCAGTCCTCTGAGAAAGCAGCTGTCAACCTCACCTATCTCCCACAAGGTCTCCCTCCAGCCTGAGATCCAGTAGGACCCAAACTGGAAAGTTAATGCTGTGAAAGGAAGTAGACACAAGGGTGGACAGGGCAAGGCTACCTCTCACAGCAAGGCTAGTACCCCAGGCGCCCAGGGTTCAGAGGCAGGTAACACAGTATGGCTAAGTTCCAGAGAGAGGTGCACAGAAATGAGCAGAAGGAGAAATGAGCAGATCAGGACCCTCCCCCAATGTAGCAACTCCTTCCTTTCTACTTCCCTTTGGAGGACTGAGTGTGTGAAAGAGGGATGTGCATCGATCACCTCCAGACTCCCAATACCCAGACAAGACACTAGATGGCGCCTTCATGAAGCGGTAGGGGAGGGCATGGTGGCATCTGAAGGGAAGGGGCAATGGCAGTTACCAAAATGCATGGAACCAGGGCTGACAATGGGATCCTAGGAGAGAGCCCTCTGCCTTGGCTCAGGTAACCCTAGACCCCAGGTAGCAGCAGTGGGGCTCCCTTTAACACCCCATAGTTGGGAAGGAGGCACCTAGGGAATGGAATGGGCATCCAAGGAAGAGAGGAGGCAACAGTGGGCTCTGCAAATAAGGCACTGAGAGTTGTGGTCAGGAGCCTTGTCATAGTCAGAGGGGTTGGGCAGGAACCCTGTCATAGTCAGAGGTACTGGAGACTAGGGAAAATCTGCCACCAGCACAGTTAAGGTCCCTATCACAGTCCTCCTACCACCAGAGGTCCTGGAATGTCTTGGGGATAGGAAGGGTCCTTGGTGGCGCCATGAAGGATGACAGATTTTGGCTGGGAGGTGGGGGCTGCTTGGATCTAACTAGGGGCAAAGGGTCCAGTCAAGATATCTGGGGCCTGCAGTCTATCTAAGGTCAAAGTTAGGCCTCCCATTTGCAGCATAATCTTGAAGATCAGGATAGCATGGGTAAGAAGCTAGGGAAGAAGATTCTTGGGGGACAGGGGGTTGTGGAATTAACTGTCCCAAATGGTCCTGGGTCATAGGACTCCCTCTACCCAGCACTGTGGGCCCCTTTGGTCTGGAAAAGTCACAGGATAATGGGGTCAGGGAAGGCCAGGTCTTGATCTTTTCCCCAACTCATACAGAGCACTGCCTTTCAAAAGGGATAGCAGTGCCAGGTCAGGTTCTCAGTTCAGGTGGTAGTGGGCGTCACAGGCCCCTGGTGAGGACAGAGGCTGCTAAAGGCAAAGAGAAGGGGCTGAGGCCTGACATTCTCTAAGTACCACTAGACATGGGGCCTAGCACTAGAGAAGGTATTAGTTAGACCCAGGTGGCACAGCCGAAGGTGGCCAGGCTGGAACCATGGCATGCCACAGTCAGAGCTAGTGGCTCAGCCATTATACTGCTGCTGATAGCGCAGGTTGAGCTCCCGTAGCTCGCGCTCCCGCACACGGCGAGACTTGTTGGAACGTGTAGAGCGGCTGGAACGTGTGGACTGGGCAGATTTGGTGCTCTGGCAGCGGGAGGAAGCACGCTTGAGGAGGTTCTGGGAGATGGATCGGTGCAGATTCTTCATAGATGAAGATGCTGCCATGCTCACCACCCATGGGTGCCTCAGGGCCTGTAAAGCAGTCATTCGGGCTCCAGGATCCACTGTCAGCAGGCGGTCAATGAAATCTTTGGCCAGGTTGGACACACTGGGCCAGGGCTAGAGGACAAGGACAAGCATTAGAATAAGAACACTCAATAAGACCACCCATCTAGATGATGCTACCACCACAGCACTGAAACCTGCCCAGCATCTCTGCACTCTCTAGGGAGACAAACATCCTAGATTTCTCCTAGGCAATGCTGGCCCAGGCTACTGAGCATGGACTGCTCTTCATGGCTGAGGAATGTGTTAAGGAACAAAAGGACCTATCCCCATATCCTAGGAAACACTTTTTTTTTTTTTTTTTAAAGTGTAGCCCAGGCTGGCCTCGAACTCGTGATCCTCCTGCCTCATCCTCTTCGCCTCGTTGATTACTGGTGTGTGCCACCATGACCACTTTTTTTTTTTTTTAAGGTACTGGGGTTTGAACTCAGGTCCTACACCTTGAGCCACTCCACCAGCCCTTTTTAGTGATGGGTTTTTTTCGAGATAGGGTCTCACAAACTATTTTGCCCAGGTTGGCTTCGAACAGCAATCCTCCTGATCTTTGCCTCCTGAGTAGCTAGGATTACAGGCATGAGCCACCGGTGCCTGGCTAGGGAGCACTTTAAAATGCTCTGAACCTGAACCTGGATCAGGGAGGTATACCTTGCTACGACTCCCAACCTACCGAAGGACTACCATAATTCAGGGACATTGAGTCAGACTTTACACTCCAATCCTTGATTATCCAGACAAGGCCATTTAGAGGGGAACTTCCTAGTCCTTAATGAGAGGGTCCCACACCTCCCTCTGCCAAAGCATTCCCTCTCCTTCTCAGCATTGAGAAGAAAACAATGCAAAGCATCTAGATTTCTCAGTCTGCTAACAAGGCAAGAGCTCCTGGGGCCAGACAGAGATGAGGACCCATCTATGCTTAGTAAGCACAAAGCCCTGAGTTCAAACCCGAGTCCCACCAAAAAAAAAAAAAAAAAGAGTTCTGTCCAATTTGTATGACTTTTCTAAGCCACAAAGGACTCCTTTGGTTCTCAGGGTGAAGAATACTTGTTCAGTTCCCTCTTAACCCCCTGTGCTTGTAGCAATTATTCTAGTTGTAACTTTTAATAAGACTGCAAATTTAAGTTTTTTATTCCCATTAGACATTGCTGAGCCCTAATGCCTGGCAAAAACATACAGAAGGTACACAATAGGTACTGGCTCAGTGAATTAACCGCCAGTGGATGCTATATGATGGGTTGCCTTTGCTGAAACTGCTTCTAGGCCATGGGATTCAGCCTGATGGCACCTACATGCCCTAGATTCTTGAGCCTCCCTCCTTGAGAGCAGGCTCTGAGACCTTGCACCTCCTAGGAGCACATCTGGGCATGGACCATTTAGCTGACACAAATATCTGTTAACAACCACTACCCCAGTCTTGCTCCTTTGACTTCTTGCTCCATGCTCTGGACAGGGGTGAGGCAGGGTTGGACTACTTGCAGTTGCTGTCCACACCTGCCTTTTAGAAGGCAAACATCAAATTTTATTGAACAGAACTAGAAATGACAAGGTAAACACATTGCCAAATAGTCACCTAACAGGGCCATCCTCACCATCAGGCCAGCTCCAGTGAGTCTTGCCCTCAAGAAGAGAAAAGTTGCTGGGTGCCAGTGTCGCCTGTAATCCTAGATACTCAGGAGGCAGAAAACAGGAAGATCGCGATTCCAAGCCAACCTGAGGCAAATAGTTCACAAGACCTTATCTCAAAAACAATAAAAAAATAAAACAGGGCTGGTGGAGTGGCTCAAGTGGTAGAGGGCCTGCTTAGCCAGCCTAGCAATCATGAGGCCCTGAATTCAAGCCCCAATACCACCAAAAACAAACAAACAACAAGAATTCACTGGAGAACACACTGCAGCCCAGACTGACCTGGGCTGATGGCTTAGACTACTCCAAACAGGGCTGGAACATGAATTCTGCACCCACCCCTTGGTTCAGCATGCCAGAAGAGGGGCAACTCCTTTGCAGATGATGTCATAGTGGTAAAGCTGGACTCACGAGATAGAAACCTGAACATGGATGATTAAGAGGCTTCCCCACCTTTCATCCACAGCCAGCCAAACCATGAACCCCTGCAGCTCAGAACCAGTCCAATGCAGTCTTAGAAGGGCCTCTCACCAGACTTGACACATGTGCTTAAGCATCTCCATCTCCACAGTGGCACAGGCTCACACCAGGTATCTCTACCCCTGCTGCTCTCCAGCCAGTTAGTGCCAAAACGAGCAAGATTGATCCACCCCTCCTACCCCCCAAGACTCTCGCCTCATCAATTACTGTGTACGTGTGGCTGTGTGCAGAATGCTGATGGACTCATTTGTTTAAGGGCCAGACCAGCCCTCTCTGGTAGGCTCCAATGCTTCCCATTTTTGAAGAGCTGGGAGCAGCTGTGCCAGGGGGTCCCCAAGCCAGTGTTACTCAAGTTATCCTGACTTAATCTTTGTGTGCTGAACAACTTGCAAATGAAGTTAAGCAGGCTGACCACAGGGAGGTGGTCCTCATCCAGCCTGCTGACAGTGAGATGGGGGCTGAGTTGACTACAGAATAGTGGCTCCTGAAACCTCTGCCAAGGCCCCTGACAGAGCTCAGAAAAGTAAGCCTTTCCACACTCATCCACAGGCACACTTCTGGCCTCAAGTCCAATATGGCACCTCCTAAGAAAGCATTCAATACATATAGCCCAACCTACCTGCTTCCCAACATGATCAGGCCACTGGAGCCTGACAGTATGTCTGTCAGCCTATGACTGACTGGCCGAGAAGCATTCTGGGCATGAGAAAAAGAAAAATAAACAGTCATGTCTTTCAGTTTCCACAGTTCCGTTTGCTCTGGGTAAGGAACAGACTATGGCCTTAGTACTATACACTTGGGGCCAAATCAGGGGCATTCATGGGCCTCAGGTGGCTGACAGATGGGACAAGTCCAAAGCAGCAGCTGGTCAGTCTCCCAGAGGCTTTCACCTATGTCTGGACTGGCAGGAAATATTAAGAAGTTGGTTGACTTTGCCTCCAGACAACTGAGGTCCCTGCCTGCTCTGGGATAAGAGGACAGCTTCAGTACCAGGGTAACAGCCTACACTCTTCACAAGTCTCTGGAGCTATGTGGGTGAGGGGCTGGACCCTGAGTCAAGTCTGTGGGAGGAGGTAATATCACTGCTACTCTGAGTTTGACCATCAAGCTGACTGCCTTTCTCTTGAGTCCAAAATCCTCAAAGAAATCTTGTCTCCTCACAGTTAGAATACCTATATCTGATGTTGTAATAGGAGAGAAGCCCATAGCAGAGAGGAAAAAGGACCTCTCCTGTAAGCACTTACTCACCAATTTCCATCCTTATCCCCTACCTCTGCTGGGCCAAAACCACTCCTCAGCAGTAGAGTCCAAACTCTTTTCAGAGGAATAGGCACCAAAATGAAAAGGCTCCAGCATAGAGGATTCACCTCCCTCCTCCCTGCCCCTTCCACTTGGGTTGAAGGGGAAAGAACATTTCCTAAACCACTCCATATGGTCTTACTTTGAGCCCAAGGACTAAGAGAACAAAGAATGGAGCCAGTTTTTTGGCACAGGCTGCACAGAGACAAGGAACCTGCTTTTTTCTGACAGCAGGCCCCACTACAGGCTGCCCTAGACTTCCTCCACCAGCAGGCTGATGGTGTGGCTTCAGAGAAAGGCCTGGGTATCTGTGTATGGCATCAGAGTTATAGATTAAAGTGTGAGACTACAAGTCCAGCAACCTACATTCTACTTCTCTGTATGACCTTAGAGAAACCAAAGACTCCTCACTTTTAAAATGAAAGAGCTAAATACAAGTGTCTTCTAGTTTCTAAGTCTTAGCTCTAAGAGCATGGCTTTCCATCTTTTTTACATCTTTTGGCCACATGTGAAGCACAGAGCTCACCATCTGACATTCCAGCTGATCTCCTGACTACTAGGGGTTCCTTATCCAGCTCATGACTCTGGGAAGGCTCTTCGACAGAGAAGACAGCCCCACAATGGAGCAGCCAGAGGGAGGGGGGAGGAACAAAACTGAGCTTTGCTACTCTGACTCAGTTCTTCCTTCAGCTTTGTCTCATGATGTATTTTTGCATTTTTAGATCCAAAATTCCCACCCTCAAAAGCCTCCTTTCTATACTTACGTGGGACTGAGTGACAGCAGAGAAAAGGGCAAAGAATAAATTCTGGGAACTTATTCTCCAGAGTTCACTCTGGAGAACAGAACTCTCAGTATGGCAACAAGAACAGCACACTCTGATGCTGCCCAAAAGGGTATGCATTTTGAAAAATGTGGCAAGACCAGACACTGGATGGCAATGGAATCAGCAGTCCCTCCTCTGGCCAAGAACCAGCGTCCTGGTGCCTGGGCTTCCAGACCCATCAGAATCCACTACCCTAAGATCCCAAAGGGTCCAGGAAGGGATGAGCAGCAGATAAAAGGGTACAGGCTTATCCCCTCTTTTTTGTTGTTGTTGGTAGTTTTTTGAGACTGGTTCTCAATATGTAGCCCTGGTTGACCTTGAACTTGTGATCCTCCTGCCTCAGTCTTCTGAGTAGCTGGGACTTCAAGTGCAGCCACTGCACCTAGCTGGGAACAAGAGTTTTGCTTTACAGTAAGAACATTTTTTTTTTTTTGATAGTACTTGAGTTTGAACTCAAGGCCTTGCACTTGCTAGATGAGCACTCTACAAATTGAGCTACATGCCCAGCCCCTGACCGAGAGTTTAGGGTTTTATTGTTTTTACAGTGCTTTGGATCAAACCCAGGGCCTCATACATGCTAGGCAAGAGCTCTACCATTGAGCTACATACCCAATCCTTGAATTTTTTTAAAGAGGCAGATCCCAGCTACTTAGGAAGCTGAAGCAAAAGGATTGCTTTGAGCCCAGTAGTTGAGACTGGTCTAGCCAACCAGTGAGACTACCATCTCAAAAAAATAAAAAATAAAAAGAGGCAGAGAGGGGATGGAGGTATAGCTCAGTGGGAGAGTGCCTGCTTAGTATGTACAAGGCTCTGGATTCAACATGAACACCA